CAACGATGCCACCACGTCGGCTTCGACCTTCGAGTAGTCAAGTGGCCTCCACACAGCCACATCCTTCCAACCTGACGCAGTCTTCAACGTCAACGTCACAACCTGCACGAGGAACAAGAAATATCATAAGCTGCATGTCAAGAACGGATTCCTTCATCACCGGCTCACCACCGACTTACCCATCAGAACAACTGCTCGAAAAGAGCACGCCTCGTCGCGAATCACTGGAACCAAACCTGACATACGCGGCTATCACTCAGAGCGAACCGTCCGGTCAAGACACCTGGTTCTTAGACAGCTGCTGCGGCCAACATATGTGCTCTTCAAACCGCTTCATTCAACGAGAACAGCGTCTCAACTGCGAAGTCGTAATAACCGTCGCCAACAATCAGAACCTGCGCACATGATGACAAGGGGTGGTTCAGCTACAGTCCCACGAAATCACCGTCATCCTGCAGATGTCAAAATTTATGATTGCAGAAGGACTCGGGTACAACATACTAAGCGTAAGCCAGCTTATGGCAAAGGGAGATCACCTCGAAGCCGACATGACCACTCAGGAGTTCAAATTGTACCACGGAACGGGCGGCCTCTACATCGGGAAGGCGGTCCTAAAGAACAACGTCTTCGTCCTTGACGTCGTCCTAGATCAAGGCACTGCTGACAGCGACGCGATCTTCAATTTCACCACTTGGACGCACCCGCCGGATCTCGACCCCGACTTCAGCCCAGGAGGCTTTTGGTACTCGCACACCATACCTAAAGCAGAACGGACAAGGGCATTAGCAGTAACTCAACAGACAACAGAAGTAGCAGCAACATCGAGGGAAGCAGAGACAACAGCAGCAACAGTAACATCGTCAGAAGCAGCGACATCCGCAGAAGCAGAAGCAACAACAGAGACAACAACACCAGCACAATCGCCAGCCCTTCATCAGCACCACCTCCCATCACCGACACCAGAGACAACAACACCAGCACAATCGCCGGCCCTTCATCAGCACCACCTCCCATCACCACACCACATCAACTCCCGCTCAACAGTTGACTCCCGCTCCACGCAACGTCCACAGAAGTGCCAACATCACTGCAGACTTCTACTCCAACTCCGACCTGTACAGACGTTCACCTCGACATCGCGCCGACGAATCACTGTGACATTAGAGGTTAGGACATCCCAGCAACACGACATTGAACAACACGATAAGAGCAGAAGTTCTCGACAATGACTCGCTACTCTTAATACACGGCAGAGAACAAGGCAGTTTCAGCAGGAAGGCAGTTTCACCACCAGCAACGGATGGGTGTACGAGTGCCTGCGTATTTGTTTCCATGTGTGAGCAGGTTTGCTCCAAGGAGCCACCTGGAGCTGGATGATGGCAGATGGAGGCAAAGTAGCAAGGGCTGGGAATGGGTGGCAAGAGGCAGCACGGTTGCAAGTCTGCTCGTAGAGGCTCATAGCCACTAGTGAGTAGACTAGGATGTCGTGATTGAGTCATGGAGGCGGAAGAGCTGGTAGAATAGGCAGAACCTTGGTTGCAATTCTCATTGCTTGTATGTTTTGCAGCAATACGAGCAAACAATGCTGATAGGGAGATATGACAAGCAAGACTTAGGAATTTAGGAAGCCATTGTGTGTGAAGGAGCAGAGAGCTCATCACATACAAGCAATCAAGCCGGGGTAGGGCATGCCCACACGATCAGGGTTACGTTTCGCCGCAAAGGATCGCTTAGCGGAGATTGGGAACATGGAAGGTGATAGGAAGAACGAGCACGGGATTTGAGTAGAGGTGGACGCGCACGGCACGGAAGGAGGGGCCACCGGGAAGCCGAGCGGAGCCACGGGCTCAGATGTGGAGCGCGAACAGACGTGCGAAATGGAGAAGGAAGGAAGGAGAGGCAGAGTAGAAAAGCTCGTCTCGGAAGGAGGCCCCGCGATAACGGAAGGGAGAAGGGGGAGTGATCGGCCGTACCAGCGGAGCGCGTCATGGCAGGGCTTCGAGGAAGGGGCGGCATCGTCACGATGGCGCTACATGATGCTCCCGAAGGAGGAGGTGCCAGAGCGATTCTCAGGAGAGACGCGACGCGGACCGTCCTTGAATAACTATCCGCTGCAGCTGGAGAACTTTACGTGCAGAATGGGAACGTGATCGGCTGGATGCAGACGAGTTCTTCCGAGGTCTGGCAAACACGCTGACGGGGGAGGCCGAGTCGTATTACCAGATCTGTTGGCAAGAACTTCTGGATTGGGCAGAGCAGGGGAGGCCGGGGGAGGGAGATCCCACCAAGCGCTTTCTGACCATTATCCGCTGCAAACACCAGAGCGGGTCGTCGAGTTCCGTGACTTCAAACGAAGGACAGGAGAGTCGCTCCTGGAGTACTACGGGCGACTCGTAGAGCTCGGAGAAGACATGAACTACGTGGATCAGGGTTGCCTCGTCAGCAAGTTTCTAAACGGGCTGAATTACGAGCTGCAGCAGGATGTGCAGGTGAAGATCTTTGAGATGGGAGCAGCGGCGACGCTGGGAGTGGCGTATGAGACAGCAAAGAGGGTGGAAACGGGAAGACGGTTGTTCGAGGTGGAGCAAACGGGAGAGCGGTCCGTGGAGAGGAGGAGGCCGGCGTGGAGCGCCAGCCCAGTGGAATACGAGTGACCGACAAGAGGGCCTGCAGACACGAGGAAGTGTCATAACTGCAGAAAGGGAGGTCATTTACAGCAAGACTGCCTCAATCCACCGGCATGTTCCATCTGCGGCAAGGAAGACCATCTGCAGAGGGACTGCCCGGAAGCGCCAACCTGCGAGAAGTGTGGAAGAAGAGGACATGGAGAGCGTGACTGCTTCACGCGCCGAGGGGACGCCAGAGAGAAGGGAGAGATGGCGGAGATGCGGGCGGAGATCGAGAAGCTGCGGGCGCAGCTCGAAGGGCGAGAGAGAGGAACAGAAAGGAAGCCGGCCATGGTGGCGAGGGACGAAGAGGAAGCGGAAGGCAGCCAGCAGGAATTCTGCTGATGGCAAGACCCGCCAGGGACAGAGAGGAGCTGGGCCTAAGGCCAAGGGAGAGGTACTTGAGGCAGCGAGTGGAGGAGCGACAGGAGTATGGACCGAGGCGGGAGGTAGGGGAAGTTAGAGAGGAATTACCACCGCCCCAGCATCCGTTGGAGAGGCTCAGCTGTGCGGCGTCAGTGCTGGTTGCGGAGAAGGGTTACATCACGGTGGGAGGCCTGCTGGTGAAACAGGCAATGATTGACACGGGCTCACATCCAGTGCTGATCGGGAAGCGGCTGGCGGAGCAGTGCAGCTGGACAGGCCAGAGAGGCAGATAGCAAAAGGGATGTTATTGATGACGCCAAAGGGGGGTGGAACCAAGTGGATGCCAAAAACGTGTGCAATGGTGGAGATAATAAGGCGGGGAATGCTCTGTGAAACTACAGTGCGGCATTTCGCCGTCAGAAGACTACGACTTGCTCCTGGGAGTAGAGTTCCTTTACAGCATCGGGGCGACCATCTGCATGTGGGAAGAGAAACTGCTGTATCGAGTGACCTACTGGGAATATGACGGTCTGTTGGCAAAGCTGCCAATACGTTTCATTTGCCGCTAGCCACGTGAAGCATACCAGGTGAAGATGAAGACAACAGAGGAAGAGTTGGGAAGGATGAATTGGGAAGAATTGGAGAAAGAGAGACGTTACCGAGATTGGTACAGGCAGCAGTAGGGGGAGAGCGGCAGACTGAAGGAACTCCACTTGGACAGACGAGTGTTTCAAAAGCCCATAGTGCTCCTGGAGCTGTTTGGGGGCATCAGCATGGGCCTGGCGATGGTGTTGAAGGCAGACCTGAGGGTGGAGAAGTACATATACGTGGACAACGATGGTGCAGCGAACATCATGGCATGGCACCACATCAAGAAGCTCGAGGAAAGGTACCCCTCTCGACCGTATGAAGGGGCGGTAGACCGAGAATCAGAGTGGATCTGCCACAGTGTGGAGGATGTGAAGGAGGAGGCGGTGGCTCACTGGGCGCACATCCATCTGGTCATTGCACGCTGGGAGTGTCAAGGGATATCACGGGCAGGAGAAGGAAAAGGGATGGATGATCCGAGGAGTGGTTTATTTAGAGAGCTGATCCGAAACCCCAAGCTGATCAAGCGGAGGCAAATGGAGGTGGCGTATATCGTGGAAAACGTGGACACTGGAGACGATGGGAGAGAGGCTGTCAAGCGAGCAGAAGAGGAGATCAAGGGAGAGCTGGGGGCAGGAGTGTGGTGGGATGCGGCAAAGAATGGGAGCCGTACGCATCGCACTCGCAAATACTAGCAGAACGTACTGCCGGAGGCCATGCTGCAGTACGAGTTGTCGCTGATGGAACGTCCTCGTCCGCATCTAGTCGCAGATATCCTGGAGCCAGCACGGCTGCCGGCGCCAGTGCGACACCCCAACCATGATGTGAGAGTACGCCGACGTTTGACATATTTCCCATTTCCATATTTTTACTCCACCTTATTCTCCATATTTTCCTCTTTCATTTGCACTTTATTTCACCTCAATCGGACTACTATTCTATTTTCTAGAGCTTTCCGATTACTTCACTTAATTGGTGTTTCGGCACCGACATTTACATTATACGGCACCGACAGCACCGACAGTGGTGTACAAGGCGTAATCTTGCCATAATCCGAAGTGCCAATGGGCTTGCATGCTTATGCGCACTTGTGATTATCTATTCTAGAAGAGCGCGTTCCCGAAGGTTCGGATTATCTGTTGTTTCTATGTATTTCTGAGTATAAATACGCCTTGTACTCACCTTTAGTGCAACATTCTCGAGTGGAAATTCGATCCTGTGACACATGAGACGCAGTATCCCTGTAATGAGGTGGGAAAGCCACGGCAGGCGTGGCCGACTCTGGTGGCGTATGAGAAGGCGGAGGGATTCAAGCTGAAGGACGGAGTGGAAGGTCTAGGAATGGTGTTCGATTGCCTGAAGGGGGTGTGGGAGGAACCAATGGCCTTGGAACGCGAACCAGCGATGGGATTCCTGGCGGGAGCAACCACGAGCACGGATGTTACGGAGGAAGAGAGGCGGAGGGCATTGGGGAAGGCCATGGATTTGAACGCGTTGCATTGGTTGGTGGCCACCATGGGTCGCAACTTAGAGCGGAATCGGTTGGAGCGGAGGAGGGATCATGTGGCGAGGGCGGACCCAAAGACACGAGATGATGAGATCAAGGAAGAGGAGGCAGAGATCCTGCTCAAACATCTAGAGAATGAGGCGTGGGAGATGCGGAAAAGGGGAGTGCCGTAGGAGAAGCAAGCGGACAGGCTGAATGATCACCAAGGGGTCCCGGGCCGTTATCCACACCAAGAGGAAGAGGAGGAAGAGTGGTGGGAAGGAGAGCCAGAGATGGACTGGGACTCAAAGCTGGAGGAATACCCCACGGAGAGGTGGATCCCTGATCCGGATGTAGTGTTTCTGGGACCCAGCAGGGCCTACATGGCAAGCAGGGCAGACGTCGGGGATGAGGAGGAGAGGCAAGGGGCAGTAGAAGAAGTGGGGGCAGCTGAGATGCCTGAGGGCCCAGGCGAGGCAGGAGAAGCTGAAACGGGAGGAGGACGAGGGAGAATGGAGGAAGCTGCACAACCACAAGCACAGGGAACGCACTGGGACATTGCATGAGGGCCCGAGCGATGCACGGAGAAATGGCGCTTGGACTAGAAGCAGTACTATGACAGCATGCAGCAGCATTCGTGCACACACTGCAGCAGTTGGGTAAGTGTGTCACCAGCGCCATGCACCTACCTTTGACCAGCGAGGTACCAGTGTACCAGAAGAAGAGAAGGATGAGCCCGCAGTATATAAGTACCTGTACAGAGAAATGTCAAGAGCTGCAGGCAGCATCAGATCAGGTTGATCCGACGGTCAGCATCAAATTACGCGACAGCCATAGTGGTAGTAGCGAGGACCGATCTGACGGGCACTATGCTGTCCCGCCGTACTTGTGGAAACTACAGGGGACTGAACAAGGTGACAACGACGGACAAATATCCTATGCCGATGGCCGAGGAGATATTGACCATCTGCAGGGTAGCTGGGTCTTCTCAACACTGGATCTGCGGCAGGGTTTCAACCAGATACCAATAGCGGAGGAGGATAAGAAGAAGACAGCCTTCCACGGACCGGACGGGCTGTACGAGTGGAACTTCATGCCATTTGGGCTGCGGAATGCGTCGGCGGTGTTTCAACGAGTGATGGATGCGGTGCTGAGGGGAGTGATGGACGCGGCATGCTACATAGATGATGTCATCATCTTCAGTCTGAATGCAGAGGCACATGTGTGAGATGTGGCGGCTTCGCGGTCAGCAATTGAAGCAGCAAGACTGACTTGCCATCTAGGGAAGTGCCGCTTTGGCCACAGTAGTGTGGCATATCTGGGATCTGATATGGCAAGAGGGGAGCTCAGTATCTAGAAAGCCAAGGTAGAGGTGTTGGAAAGGGTGAAGAGGCCCAAGGACAGGACCAGTCTGCGAGCTCTGTTGGGGTTTCAGAACTACTACCGCAAGTTCATAAACGACTTCAGCAGGAAGGCAGCTCCATTGAACAGGTTGCTAAGGGAGGAGCAGAAGTGGCAGTGGGAGGAGCCACAGGAGAAAGCCATGCGGGGTCTGATGGAGGCGGTGAAGGCTGGAGCAGTGCTGAAGCTACCAGATGCACATGAGCCATTCGTACTCTACACCGACTGGAGCAGCGTAGGGATGGGAGAACTGCTGAGCTAGAAAGACAAGGGGGTGGAGAAAGTGGTGGCCTTTGCCAGCAGGACATGCAGCCCTGCTGAGGCCAACTACTCGTCCTACGAAGGGGAAGGACTGGCGGCAATCTGGGCGGTGGGCCATTTCAGTGTGTATCTGCAAGGGCGGCACTTTACCTTGGTAACAGACCATCAGCCACTACTGTGGTTGATGCACAATCTGACGCTGACACGCAGGAACGCGCGGTGGGCGATGAAGTTACAAGAATACGACTTCACAGTGAAGCACCGGCCGGGCAAGACCATGCATCACGTGGACGGACTCTCCAGGAATCCACCACGCAACGCACATGAGCTGGACCAGAGCAAGAACCGCCATCGCCTGTGCTAACCGCCATGATGAGCGAACGAAAGCAAGAAGGAGAGCAGCGGAGGGGAACAGCGGATGTGTGGCAGGATGAGGAGACCTTGGCGTGGATCAAGGGAGAAACGGCAGAGGATGGGGGAGCAGGAGCAAGGGCTAGAGCTCGGGGGCAACATTACAGGTGGTTTCAGGGACAGATGCAGCTGCAGACGAAGGATGGGTGGAAAGGGAGAACATAATATCAAAGGTGCACAACAAGTTGGGTCACTACGGGCCCTTGAGGACCCAGCAGCTGCTGCAGACTGGGTGGTGGTGGGCAGGGATGCGTAAGGAAGTAAAGGAATGGGTGGAGAAGTGCGAGCTATGCTGCAGGAACAAAGCCAGCCTGCTGAAGAGCTAGGTGGAGCTCCAGCCCCTAAACATCATGGAGTTAGGGTACCGCTGGTCCCTAGACATGGTGGGCGAGCTGCGAGTGTCACGGAGGGGCAGGAGGTACGTTCTGCTCATGATTGAGCACGTGAGCAAGTGGGCAGAGGCGAGACTGCTCGTGGCAAAGACTGCAGGAGTGGTGGCAGAAGCATTTGAAGAAATGGTGCTGACGCGGTTTGGGGCGTGTGGCGAGGTGCTGACTGACCAAGGGACTGAATTCCAAGGGGAATTCAAAGAGTTGCTGGCTTCTAATGGCATCCAACACCGCACTACATCCAGGTACCACCCCTAGAGTGATGGGCTCATGGAACGGCTGGTACAGACAGTGAAGAAGGGACTGCGGGCCTACGGGGAGGCAAATTAAGGGGATTGGGACAGCAAGCTGGCGTGGGTAATGGCGGGATACAAGTTCAGCAAGCAAGCCTCGCTGAAGGACGTCTCCTCATATTTCCTGCTCTTTGGGAAGCAGCCCATCATGCCAGTGGATGCACCGAGTGCTGGATGCACGTCATTCTAAGTGCATGTCATCCTAACGTCCTGCCGAGTGCTCGTGCTATTCATGCGTGCATTATTTACATGAGCATATGTCATTGTGCATGGCTGTTGGATATTATCATCTCTGTGTTTTTCTCCAAGTTTAAATGCTTGATCATGCAGGAGAAATCCAGAGCTTTCTAACGATACCAAGATCGCCTTATTCTGACCAAGATCACCCACGTTACAAGATTTCCAAGACTTGGATTTCTTATTACCTTTTGGGGTTATATCTAATTTGGGTGATTACTTGGACATGAGTATAAAGAGATCTTTGGTTGGGTGGTTAGGAAGGCAACTTTGACTTTTGGATTGGGATGGCTATAAGTTTCTAGCATGGGTTGCAAATGTTGCAACACCTAGGCAAAATCCAACTAGATTGGATTTTGCATGTGACACCTCAAGAACCTCATGATGAGGGTTGCATCCTTTCTGCTAGAAAGGTTCCTACCATCCTTCCCTAGCTCTTGGAGAACCCCTTCCCTCTCATGGTTCTCTTGGAATCCCCAACTCCAACTATTATATGCCTTAATGTTTGTACTTCCTCCACCATTCTATTCATGCGGCTGCTGGACGTTTTTACTTGGTTCTCACTCTCCAGACCATCTTTCTAAGTGATTCGAATTGGAGATGGTAGCTAAGCCTAAGGCGCACAATCCTACTAAAAAAAAAAAAACGTTCAGTTGAGTAATGAGTTCGTCGTAAGTTCTCAACATTACGGATCCTGAACAACAAGTGGTATCAGAGCGGGTAGTCGACTTTGAGATGACGAATCGTTGTGAATTCTCAACCAATGTTGACGAGTGAGACCCGTTTCTAGTATCCCTGCTTGTGAACTTTCGATTGATGGTCCAACCGCTTTCTAATTCGAAGTATCCAATCCGCGACGACGATTTTTGTGAAGTCAAAATTTCTGACAGAATTCTCTCCAAACGATTTCTCAAGTTTCCACCAAGGCCTCAATATGACTGGAACAGACTCCAGAGGTGCTAATGGCGAGATGGCTAGAGGTAGAGAGGCTGGAGAGCAGGGGGGAGTTGCTGGTGGAGGAGTGGGGACTCACCAACCAGCCAACCCTATGCTACCGTCATCTTCTACACCATCTCTTACAACCGTGGATCCCGTAAAGACGTTCTCTATTGAGAAGCTCATGGGGGAGGACAACGAGCACTGGAGCTTCCGTATGAGGCTGATGTACACCCAATACAAGCTATTGGATCTGGTGGAGGGGAAGGAGAAGATGCAGGAGGCCGCGGAGCTAAAGGGAGCATGGATGAAGCGATCGTTCGACGCGTACATGCTTATGGTGCAAGCGGTTGGCGGGCGACAACTTGACCACATCAAGGACCTCTTGGGTGATCCAGTGTGTGGCCCCAAGGCTTGGAGGAAGCTTCTGGATGTGCACTCACCGACACATGCGACCGGCATCGTGCTACTCGTGCGGCGGCTGCGCCACATCAAGTTCGTTGATGGAGAGCCGATGCAACTGGTGTTGGATGAGATGCGGGACATCTTCACGAAGCTCCAAGGCGGCGGTGTGGTGTACCCGGAGCTCGTGCAATGCGTGGAGATCGTGATATGACTGCTGGAGTCGTGGTCTGCCCTTGCCATCAACCTCAACTCTCAACAGCCCCAGTGGAGCGTGGATTACATTCGCGTGCGCATCCTAGAGGAAGACTTGCGGCGGCGTAGTGTGGAGCGCTCGGAGGAGGGGGCTGGCTATGGAGTTGGAGGTGGAAAGAGTGGCTTCAAGAAGAAGTGGAAGGGCAAGAACAAGGATAACCTTAAGGAGGATGGCGGTGGGGGTCAAGGGGAGGTGTGCTTCTACTGCAAGAAGCGCGGACATCGTTGCCGGAAGTGCTACCAACGACCCAAGGATTGGACCCCGCCTTCATCAAGCAACCAGCATGGTGGCAAGAGGAGTGGGGGAGCCATGGGAGCTAGTGGAGAGGAGAAAGATGAGGAGAAAGGCGGCAAATCTGAGGAGCGGAAGGCCGGGTTCTTCTTCTTCGTGAACGAAGGTGCAACCGACCTCGCTATGGCTCCTAAGGTTCTCCTACACTCCCTCACCGATTGGGTGATTGACTCGGAAAGCTCCTGGCATATGACTCCTCGTACGGACCTACTCGATTAGATTCAGTCCGCACCCATCTCTACGGTCACATCCGTGACGGGCGCCAAGGCCAAGGTCATAGGCATGGGGTGCACCAAGTTCATGGGAGCGGATGGAGAGCTCGTGGGGCTGAAGAACGTGCTGTGGGTGCTGGACTTGTGCGCGAACCTGATTTCTACTGGCCGGTTGGGAGATGCGGGTGTGAACACCGAGACGATTGGCTCGGAGCACTATCGTGCCTACAACGATGAGCGGTTGATTTGGGACCTCAGCGGAAAGAGGATGTCCACAAGCGGATGTGGCAGATCCCGGTCCTCCCTTGGCGGAAATCGGGCAAGGCGGCAGCAGTGGCATCTATGGAGGAGAGTGTCACCGAGGAGGAGCAGCAAGGTGTGTAAGGAGAGGAGATGATTGGAGGAAGCACACCGGTGAAGGCGTCGGCTACCTCGGGCCAAGCGGATTGGGAGACTTGGCATCGGCGGCTCGCACGC